CGCACAGCGCTAGGGCATCGGCCTCTGGAACTCTCCTTGCGTGTCGTCCTGAATGAGTTTCAAGGCCCTCTTCTATGCGTACATTCTCGGAGGCCTTACATTTCTTCCCCTGGTCGTTGCGGGACTCATATACTTCACCATCTACACCTCGGTACCTGTCGGCGACCCAGATGCCTTCAAGAAAAACAAAGGCGAGCTGGCATCAGAGGAGGAGTCTCCCGGGGACGCAGCGGAAGCCGCGCTAGCGGTAGGCCTCAACGATGTGCCCAGAACGCGCAAGGGCTGGCTCACGATGCGGCGCACCTTCGAGGAGTCCGCCGCCGACGGCACGTACATCAATCTCGTACGCTCTTTCTTGGACTCGCGATCGAAAGACCCGAAGCGGTCCCGCCCGAAGGACATGTGGTATGTGGCGCTGAAGGGCAAGATTCTCTACCTCTACGAGGACGAGGGGATGACTGAGTGTGAGGCGGTGATCGAACTGGGCAGCCACGACGTGACGATTTATCCCGAAGACCTCCTCGACGGAGAGTTATTCGCCAAGCGGAACGCCATTTGTCTGAAGGCCAAGATTGCGCAGACAGACAAAGCGATGCCGAGCGTCACGAAGGAGATGGATCTGGAAAATGTGGATGTGGAGGCGAAGGTGACAGAGAGTGCTGCGCCTCCTCGGAAGCGGGAGAAAGAGCGGGAGGTCTTCGCAGAGGAGGCGCAGCGCAAGGATGCGGCAAGGGACGAGGCCTTGGACCCCGCGACACCTTGGTTCATCTTCGTCCGGTCCAATGTGGAGATGGAGGACTGGTACCTTGCTCTCATTCACGCGTCGGACAACCCACCACAGACTCCTCTGCTCGCACCCCTTCAGGCCGTCTTTCAGCCTTCGGAAATGAATCATCTGGTCACAACCCTCGACGCGCAGCCGGACGTCATCCCGATGCGCTGGCTCAACGCCTTGATCGGCCGCATATTCTTCAGCTTTTACCGGACACACAATCTCGAGTCTTATATCATCGGCCGACTTATGAAGAAGCTCTCGAAAGTTAAACGCCCGACTTTTCTTGCCGACATCAACGTAACACATGTCTCGGTTGGCAATACTGCGCCTACCTTCAGCAAGCCCATGCTGAAAGAGCTGACTAAGGAGGGCGACGCTTCTTTGGAGGTACACCTGCAGTATAAGGGCGAGGTGCGCATCACTGTTGAAGCAACCGCCACTATCAATCTCGGGTCGCGCTTCAAGCCTTACTTGGTCAAGCTCGTCTTGGCTGCTGTTCTCAAAGAGATTGAGGGGAATCTGCTGATCAAAGTGAAGCGGCCGCCGAGCAACCGCATCTGGTATGCGTTTACGCAGACCCCGCGAATGGTCTTCGAGGTGGAGCCCATCGTCAGCGACCGGCAAATAACCTGGGGAATGATCACCAGTACTCTTGAATCGAAGATGAAGGAAATTGTGAGCATTCTGGTTGCATTCTGGTTGCATTCGAAAATACGCGGAGAATTAATCGTGTGTTGTAGATCCAAGAATCTGTCGTGATGCCGAATATGGACGATATTGCCTTCTTCGAGAGTGCTTCTTACATGCACAGAGGCGGTATCTGGTCCGATGCAGCGCGCCGCGAAAAACCGCCAACGCCTGTCTCTGAGGAGCTGTTTGACGAAGACGGTCCTGTCGCATCCGTCCCCCTTCCCGATGCACCTGCCGTTCAAGCAGAGGGTGCTGGTTTGCGGACTACTCAATCTGCTGCAGAGCTCACCCGAGACACACCGCCATCGCCTCCAGCCGCGGATGATCTGTCCTGGTCGTCCTCGTTCTCGCAAGGAGACGATGCTGCGCGCGCGAACAAGCGGAGAAGCTGGTTCTCGAGCGTGCGTAGCGAGGATATGCAATCGTTGGCGGAGCAGGATGACGTTGCGGAGGATGGTCGTATTCGGCGAGGGCGGTCTGTGGATATGGACAAGTCCCTGAATCCGAGATCGCGGTCCACACCGAACGTCTCTGAACCTGTTCCACCAGAAAGCTCAGAGGGGAGCGACGACTCACATTTGCAGCCTTCTTCGCAACCGTCATCCTTATGGGCGCATTCGAAGTCGAATTCGGTGGAGGAGTATTCGAAACCGTCTAGCGAGCCGTCTACCTCCTTCCGAAACGGATCGAGTCCGACCACTTCCTCATTCCTGACTACGCTCAGATCACGCGATAAGCAGGCAATCAGCAACACCGCGAAAGAGGCGATGCGGAAGTGGGGGGTCAACTGGACCGGATTGATGAAGGACTCGGGGAGCAGTGGCGCTGGGGGAGACGACATGCCTGACCACGGATCGTTTGTGTCGCGACTTGGGGTGGATAGTCGTAATAGTGTGCCGCAAAAGGCGCGCGCAAGCTATGCTGAGGTCAGAGCGGCCGTGGCGGAGCGGCGGGGCAAGGAGCGCGGGTCGGTCAGTGGCACCGGGCGAACGTCGTCCCCGATCCCTATACCCGAGACGAAGCGCGAACGCGCCGTTTCGATGCAACCAAGACGACCTTCACAAAACGGGTTTCCTGACGCCTCGTCGTCGCTTATGGCCCGCGCAACTGCGATGGAGAGTGGGGGCACCAGCACCCCTCAGAAACGTCCTTCGCCCTCGCCAGCGGTGTCTCGGTCAAACACCGAGCAGCAACCAGAGACGCCATCGACACCGTCTCCCATCCATGTGCAGCCGCAGGCAAATATGATGACTATCCCCGGCATCCACGCGAGCCGTCGCGGCGAGGTCATGTCCATGGGCTACGTCGCACCCGAGCCTGCGACCCCTTCGCCCGAAACGCGCACCAAAAATCCCGCTATCCAGAGCGTATACCGCCTGTGGAAGAGCCCGGCGTCGGCAGAGACGTCCTCGGACACAGCCCCCACGGAAGTCGTCTCTTCGAGCTCGTCGTCGTCGGCCTCCTCGTCACGTACGGAGGTGACTGACGAAGGGGGCAAGGCCCTCGCTCCAGGGTTCTCCTTCCCCTCAAGTCCTTCACCCGCACGCCCTACGCCCCCTTCACTTCCTCCGCGCACAGGCCTAGGGCGCACGACGTCTGTATCCCACGTGTCGCGCCCCGATCTCGGCCCGACCCGCGTATCCGAGAGCGCGCAGCCGTCCGCGTCGGAGGCGCTCAAGTCCATCGCCAACAAAGATAAGCGCGCGTCACAAGAGTTCGGGCTCGGATTAGGGCTACCGTCTACACCTCCGTCGCGGCGAGCGACGCTCTCGGCCTCGGATCGATCGCTGTCGGGGGATTCGCTTGCGGACCGGACGCTGACATCGGGCGGAGGCGACCCTCCTATAGGCAATAATCCTGGACCGCCATTACCGCCGCGCCCAAATCAGTAGCATTAGTTGGCGCGGCGACATTGTGGTATCTAGACTGTAAACTACTCGCTTCAACTGTACACGCTATAACATATTTGATTGGGCCTATGAAGTTGTCGCTGTGCCAGGATGCAGCTCAGAGTGCTTGCCCCAGATGTATATGCGGGCAGATGATGAATAACTGCGCTCGAGCATGGCTAAGGCTGTTGGCGAACATACATTAAAGCGCAAATCAAAGGAGTAGATCTTCCAGCAAGATTTTTTGCAAAGCATGTCGCTTCGGCTCTCCGAACCCAATAGCATCGAGATATCCATCTACACCACCATATTCCTCCTGTAAGAAGTTCCAGACGGTGTCAACAGCCTCTGGCGGCGCTAGTGTATACGCAGCGTCCATGCCAATGGCTTCCACTTCCTCGATCATGGAAGCTCTAATCGGAGCGAGCCCCTCGTTAGAGAGCGAATAGTCGGCTCTCACCAGTTCTATTGGCACGCCGATGGCGAAGAGAACCAACATCACGACCAATCCCGTCCGATCCTTGCCTTGAGTACAGTTGATGAGCACGGGGTACCTCTTGACGTCCGTGAACACCTCCAGCGCTTCGCGGATCTCAGCTTGACAAAAGCGCAGGGAGTCCTTGCTCAGGCCGAGAAGACCTTTCGGACAAAGGACGTTGCGCCCAAGGATCCGAAGCGCGGCCATTCGGAATTGGAGGAGCATCAGCGTCAGAAACCAGCTTCGGATACAGGTCAGCGAGGGTCGAGTGAGCAGGCTATCCGCACATCATCTGCCACCATTTCAGCTGCCTCAGCACATTCAGCTCGAACTCTCTTCCAATGAAATTGATGCGGATGGTCTCCCAAGGCCCCTCGTCCAGGACGCTGTGCGTACCGAGTCCAACACCGGTAGCGAGGTACCGATTCTTACGCGCTTGGTGGGTTTGCGCCTGCAGTATGTGCTCCGACTTGGTTCGGAGGTCAATGACGGTCCGGAGATTGAGATCCGAGATGAGTTTCTCGTTGTCGGAGGGGCTGGCATCGTCGAGGCGCCCAGCTCGGTAAAACAATTTCTCGCGAACGAGCCACTTCCCGCTCGTAGTGTTTACGACACGTCCGATGTCGCGAAAGTTGTAGATTCCGGTGAATGGGGGATGAGCAATTGTGTCTGACATAGCAAGCTCTGGAGGCAGAGAGGTGCTTGTCATGGATGGACTGGGAGATGGTGGAACCAGGAAATGCCGCGGAGTTACGTGCGGGCCGCTGAAGCTTCCGGGGCGCGGCACTGAGCAGCACTGACTGAGCACTCCGAGTCAGCGCTCAGCGCTCAGCTTAAGTAGGCTCAGTGGACAATCAACTCCGATTGACCTTGACCTTGACTAGCTTTTAACTAGCTTGACTACTTGCAGGGTCAATTTTTTATTTTGGGCAATCTACGCTTTTCCCAGGCGATCTCGCATAGGTGATACGTATACCCCCATTTGTGGCCCCCGGATCAACGATATCAGCCCCAAAGCAGCAAGATTTCGCACACACTGGATTCCCATAAAAAAGCCACAGCAGGCCACAGATGTGTTCCACTCGTTAAGATGACAAAATATTTATGTAACACATGACTCTCTCCTACACCTCTGCAGTATATTTTGGCGTGTGCCATGTTTCTCTGTGCCTCCATGGTCCAGTTGGATAACTGTCTCCTCCTTGAAAAACAAAAGTTAGGAGGCGACAAAAATATGGCGAGGGTTCGAATCCCTCTGGAGGCACCGGGCCGTGCCACTTGTGCCGTCTTAGGAACTCGGACCGGAAATCCGAGGCAGGCGCGAGGCATAGAAATGCAAGCGGAGCGCCAAACGGAATGGGTGCGGTTTCATGGTCGCTGCAGGGTCTTCGTTGCCCGACTCATCCACTGGCATAACTTTTTTGGCTCTTTTTGCGTCTTTTATTTTGAGGCTTTGACGCCAGTTGGTTTGTTGCACGTTGATCCAAGAAACAAGAACGCGGGAGGACTTGCCATCGCTTGGTGTCATTGCACGAGGGAAAGACCTCTTCCAGCCCACTGACTGGAGGAGAAGAATCGAAAGCGAATGGGTCCTGAAGCAATAATAATGATACATTTTAAGTGTTCACGCACAAGCCAAGCTCAAGTCCATCCTTTACCGCTGCCTCGCCCGCCCCCGTGCCCTCGCTCCTTCTCCACCACAAATTGAGCGTCGCGGAGGGTGATCGCCGTCCGCGTATCCTCCTCTACCGGCGGAGGTGCAGGCGTTGCCGCCGTCGTTTTTTTCGGAACATAGGCGCGCGCCCACCCCGCGCCCGTGGTAGTCGTCGCCGCCGGGGTGCTTGCAGCAGTCGACGGCGTCGCCGACGTAGCGGACGCAGCCTTCGAGGGCTTCGCCGCCGCCGCCGCCGCATTCCCCGCAGTCATCCACGAGTACTTGCCGCCGATGCCCGCGGCCTGGCTCGCGACGGCGTTCGACATCTTCTTGCGCACGTCCTCGGACATGTTGCGCGCCGTGACGCCGGGGCCGTCCTTCTTCTTCTTGCGCTTCCCGCCCTCGTCGTCGTCGAAGTCCATGCCCGCGGCGCCGCCCCCACCCGCCGCCTGCGCCGCCAGCGCCGCGGCGTGCGCGGCGGTCATGTCCGCGCGCTCCTTGCGCTCGCGGCGCACCTTCGTCTCCTCCTCGCGCTCGATGCGCTCGAGGACCGCGGCCTGCTTCGCGACGTCGCTGCGCACCACGAGGCTCCACATCGGGAGGCCCTCCGCGTAGACCGCCGCGGGGCCCTCGAACTGCGTGTCCGTGCGGTGGTGTGTCGCAACGCTCATCTGCGCGACGAGGCGCTCGAGCCGCGTGCGCAGCGCGAGCGCGACGTAGGACGCGAGCTGGTCCGGGATCGCGCCCGCGAGCTTGTGGTGCGCGGCGATCTCGGCGAGGCGCGGCTTGAGGACCGCGATGTCGAAGTTCGGGTTCAGCGGCTGGTTGCGCGAGCGGTCGAGTTTCGGGCGCGTGGAGGCGGCGGGTGGTGTGGGAGCAGCGGGCTTCTCATCGGCCTGTAGCAGTTGAGCCTAGCCATAGTGAGACAAATGAGCTAGCGCACTACTGCTGTATCGCTGGCTGCGGCGGCGCTTGCAGGCGCGGGTGTGCTCGCAGCGGCATATTGTTGCTGCGGCTGATAGGCCTGGTACCCGGGCTGCTGCTGGTAGTGCTGGGTGTATGCGGTGTAGGCGGTGTACGGGGTCGTCCTGGCTGAACTGCATCAACACGCCGGGGCAGGTCGAGGGAAGGACAAGTTACGGCGTGGGCGTCGACGGGGGCTGGGGCTGGGACTGGGGCTGAGACTGCAGAGCGGGGTCAATGGGGATGACTGCGCGACAATATATTATCGCTAGCCCAGGTGAACAGAGAAGTACGAACGCGCGTCCATCCAGTTAGTAGGTGCAGCGGGAGTGCCCATGTTGACGCGGGATATGCACGTGCACAGCGCATTTTCTTCCGGACACCGACCACCATGGCGCAGGCCGCGAAAGAAAAGGTCGGTGCCAGCTGCACTCTTCAACCATGAGCTAACGCATAGCAGGGCAACGCAGCCTTCAAGGCCGGCGACTACCCGACCGCGGTCGGGCACTACAGCGCTGCGATGCACGCCGACCGCACCGACGCGACGTTCCCGCTCAACCGCGCCGCCGCGTACCTCAAGCTAGGCAAGTATGTTCCGCGCGGCCGTGCCCCCTGATCTCCGCTCAACGTGCCTGGTTCGCCTCCCGTAGGAGCGAAGACGCGGAGCGCGACTGCTCGACCGTGCTTGCGCTTAGTAAGGTTAATGTGAAGGCGCTGTTTCGGCGCGCCCAGGCGCGGGTGGGGATGGGGAAGCTGGCAGAGGCGCAGAAAGGTATGTGGCGCGCTGAGACAGCGTCCCTCAACCACTAACGTTTCCACCAGATCTGACCGAGGCAGCGAAACTGGAGCCGGCGAACCAGTCGGTCAAAGCTGAGCTCAGTATCGTCGCGGAGCTGATGCAGCGGGCCGCAGCGAAGGTACGCAATGAGTTCTGCATACTGCATACCCCGTCCTCCCTCTAAGTGGACATAGAAATCGAAAGTCGTCCCGGCGGATGTGGCCTCCACATCGACGCCAAAACGGCGGCGGGTACCGATAACTATCGTAGAGCCGGATGGGCGACGGATAACTCCGGCGCAGGCTAGCACAGCGAGCGTACCCTCCGGCTCGAAAGCCACCCCGACTCCGATAACGATGGCCAAGACGAGCACAGATACTATCATGAACCCCATCTCCTCTCGGCCACTAACCGCACCATCTACTTCCAATTCCAAAGCTCATTTACCTGCCCCGTCTCCCGCCCCGCCGCAAACACAAGCACAACCGCAAACGCAAACACAACCGCAGCCCGATCCCCAGCCGAAGCCGAAGCCCGCACCGGCACCGGCACCGGCGTCGTTCAAAGACGCGAAGAGCGCGCGCGACACGAGCAAGCCGAGCCGCGTCGGCGGGGGCATCTTCCGCGCGTCGGGGGAGAACACGATCTTCGCGCCGCGCGAGCGGACGTATGTACTAGCGGCGGCGGCGCCCGCTTTTGTACCGAATCCGCCTCCGCCTGCACCCGCCTCGGAGTCAATTCCGCCTGCACCCGCGCCGGTGCAGACCCATCGCCGACCCGCGCCCGCGTTCGTCCCCGCCAAATCCCCCATGACGCTCGTCGCCTTCACGCGCGCGTGGGACGCGGACCCCGCGCCCGGCGCGCGCCGCGCGCTCCTCTTTGTGCGTCCCCCTTCCCTCCCCTCCCCTTCCCTTGCCTTCCTTCCCTTCCCTTGCCTTGCCTTCCTTCCCCCCCTCCTTCCCTCCCTTCCCTTCCCGTCTACTTGCTACTCGTATCTTACTCGTACAAACACTAACCCCCCGCGCGCCCCGCAGAAAATCCCCCCCGGCGCGCTGCCCGCGCTCTTCCAGACGTCGCTCGAGCCCGCGCTGCTCGCGGAGGCGGCGGACGCGCTCGCCGCGGGGCTCGCTCTGGCCACCGGGGACGCGTCAACCGCCGGGGACTCTGGCGACGCGCGGGCGGATAAGGAGGCGAAAGAGGCGGCGGCGGCGTACCTGCACGCGTTCGCGCGCGTGCCGCGCTTCGCGACGGTGGTGCGGCTGCTGAGCACGGCGGAGCGCGCGCGCGTGCGCGGGGTGTGGGGGGTGCTTGGGGTTGGGGTCGTAAGGGCGGACGGGGCGGAGGGGGTGGAGGGCGCGGGGGCGTGGGCGCCGGTGTTCCGCTAGCAGGAGTGTGGCGTCGGGATGCGCGGACCGGTATCGAGACTGTGTGTATGTATGGGTGGGAAGTCTCTTTGGTTGGTGTGTACACTCGACACAGCAGGGCGCCTCGTGGCGGCGTACATATAGATTGTACGTGTACCTGGTTGCCAGCTCAACGTCGCGTCAAGCCTCCGCATCCACTCGGGGTTGGCGTATTATATATCATAGTTGATTCGTCGGGGTACCGGGTGCCGTATATATACGATGCTTGTGCAGGCCCCCGGTCACTACCTACTACCTCGGTCCGGAATAGAGTGAAATAGGTAGCGAAAATTTGGGTTTTTGGGTCCGGGATATAGCGTGAAATAGGGTCAAAACGGTGGATCTTGGGCCGGGATAGAGTGAAATAGGCTGTGAGATTTTTTTTTACCACCAGGCATGGCTTGATTGCGCTCATCCGAGTCATCGATTTTCGCAGCCAGCCGATAGCTGCCGAGAGCAATCGACACAAGTAGACCACAACCTATGACAATAAAGCACAGCTTTTGAAAATTTTCACGCGTGTCGAAGCTTGGTCGAAGCGCGTCTAAACGAGTGCTCCGAGCTCGAGAATCGGCGGAGATTCATGATGGCGCCCGTCACCACGTATAGCAATCCGCCACCTAGCAGATCCCGCCCATGTAAGATCAGCCGCATCTCACTGGAACCACAATTTACGCGCCGCATCACAGCACGTCCTACCCTGCTCGAGTCTTGCAAAAATGATGCTGTGGGTTACAACCGCTTGAACTGGGCGCTTGCAAATCTTGTGCTACTGCTGTGTCCTATCTTCCTTGGGCTTGCAACGGTGTTTCTCTCGAGTTCTCGATTCAGCAGCCTCAAGCATTTCTCTTCTCTGGAACTCGGTTTCTCCCTGGCATACTACACGATTCTCACTGGGATTGGTTCACTATCTATCGGTAGGCTGAACGACTCCCGAGATCTTTTATTTTCCCTCTGATCCGGCTGCAGCTGCTATGAGCTTCCCCCGCTTTTTTCGATATAATCTTGTCGTCCACCTCATATTTCCACGCCGCCGACATCGCTCACATTGGTCGTTCATGTCTATGCGCAGACTGAGAGCAATTTGTGGGAAGAGTAGCCCTCCGCCCGAGTCTCCCTTTCAAATCTTTGTCTTGGGGCTTTTCCACAAGCTCAAGTCGATACCCGTCTGTACGTCCTGGGAGCTATATTATCAAGTATGCGAGCTAATTTCCCACCAGCGGTCACGAAAAGTACAGCAGCCGCCGACATCTATCAGTATCTGGGCTTACCTAGCGAGCTTCGTAATTCATTTTACTTCACTGCGGGCCGGCGCAAACTTTCCTGGGACGACACTATGGAGTCTCATAACCTTGGCGCACTGTCACATCTGCACCTAAGGTTGGTCGTCCCCGGTGGTTCGAAACCTGGACCAGCTGGTATGAAACCATCGCACAACAGACTTCATTTTTGAATATTTCTGCAGA